CCAGGTAAGTGATGATAGGCACTTTCACCCCATAGAGACCATCCAGTCTTCATATGCTTAGGTAAGTGATATTTGTTCCTGTTTTGCCATGGCATTTTGAGGGCTAGGTTTTCAGGTAAGAATTGATAGTGTCTCACCAATTCTGGAAGCCATGTAATCCTCCTGTTCTTTATTTTATAAAAAATTTATGTTTGTGTAATTGTTGAGAGACTTGCAGATATCCAGGTAATTCTTATACAGCTGCGTGTCACAGTAGTAATCATGGTTTTCTTTTGCAGGTGAGCATCCAAGGGGTAATGCTGTGTCTAGCAATGGCCTAGATCTTGGAGTTACTGCAAGATTCCAGGTAGATTTGATGAATCCTGCAAGAGTGGTGGTGACAGGGTTATCTTCAGGGTCCAGGTAGTAAAGGTGGGTCCATAGACACATTCGTCACAATGCGTTTTCCAGTTTCCTGTTGAGAGGTCATGATGAACCTCATAATGATATGAAAGGGACATGGCTTGCATCCAGATAAGTGATAAGGTGGGCCTTTTGCACACAACAGACCATCTGATCTTCAGATATCTAGGGAAGTGTAGATATTGTTCCTAACTGTTGTGTTACCATCCTTTTTTGCAGGTATTCAGGTAAGAAATGTTGTCCCAACCAATGCTAGTAAGCATTAGCCCTTATGATTTTAGAGATTAAATATAACGTGTGTTTTTCCTTAGGAATGACAGAAGGATATGTAGGTATCCAGGTCAGTTATCATTTTGTTCATCACTTTTTTGTTTACCATGGCTTTTTGCAGTTATCTCGTCAAAGAGAGGATTGTGTCTCTAACTAGGGTGTTGACATTGAACTCTTACAAGTTTCTGGATACATTTGATGGGCCTCATAATTTTTTTTTTTTTTTTTTGCGGTACGCGGGCCTATCACTGTTGTAGCCTCTCCCGTTGCGGAGCACAGGCTCCGGACGTGCAGGCTCAGCAGCCATGGCTCATGGGCCCAGCCGCTCCGTGGCATGTGGGGTCTTCCCAGACCAGGGCACGAACCCACGTCCCCTGCATCAGCAGGCGGACTCTCAACCACTGCGCCACCAGTGAAGACCCAGAAATCTCTTGAATCCCTATACCCTAATGATGAAAAATCTGAAAGAGAATTAAGGAAATAGTCCCATTTACTATTGCAACAAAAAGAATAAAATACCTAGGAATAAACCTACCTAGGGAGACAAAAGACCTGTATGAAGAAAACTATAAAACACTGATGAAATAAATTAAAGATGATACAAACAGATGGAGAGATATACCATGTTCTTGGATTGGAAGAATCAACATTATGAAAATGACTATGCTACCCAAAGCAATCTACATATTCAGTGCAATCCCTATCAAACTACCAATGGCATTTTTCACAGAACTAGAACAAAGAATTTCACAATTTGTATGGAAACACAAAAGACCCCGAATAGCCAAAGCAGTCTTGAGAACGAAAAATGGAGCTGGAGGAATCAGGCTCCCCGACTTCAGACTATACTACAAAGCTACAGTAATCAAGACAGTATGTTACTGGCACAAAAATAGAAATAGAGATCATGGAACAGGATAGAAAGCCCAGAGCTAAACCCACACACATATGGTCACCTTATTTTTGATAAAGGAGGCAAGAATATACAATGGAGAAAAGACAGCCTTTTCAGGAATTGGTGCTGGGCAAACCAGACAGCTACATGTAAAAGAATGAAATTAGAACACTCCCTAACACCATACACAAAAATAAACTCCAAATGGATTAAAAACCTAAATGTAAGGCCAGACACTATCAAATTCTTAGAGGAAAGCATAGGCAGAACACTCTATGACCTAAATCACAGCAAGATCCTTTTTGACCCACCTCCTAGAGTAATGGAAATAAAAACAAAAATAAACAAATGGGACCTAATGAAACTTCAAAGCTTTTGCACAGCAAAGGAAACCATAAATAAGATGAAACGACAGCCCTCAGAATGGGAGAAAATATTTGCAAATGAAGCACCTGAGAAAGGATTAATCTCCAAAATTTACAAACAGCTCATGCAGCTCAATATCAAAAAAACAAACAACCCAATCCAAAAATGGGCAGAAGACCTGAATAGACATTTCTCCAAAGAAGATATACAGATTGCCGACAAACACAGGAAAGGATGTTCAACATCACTAATCATTAGAGAAATGCAAATCAAAACTACAATGAGGTATTACCTCACACCTGTCAGAATGGCCATCATCAAAAAATCTACAAACAGTAAATGCTGGAGAGGGTGTGGAGAAAAGGGAGCCCTCTTGCACTGTTGGTGGGAATGTAAATTGATACAGCCACTATGGAGAACAGTATGGAGGTTCCTTAAAAAACTAAAAATAGAACTACCATACGACCCAGCAATCCCACTACTGGGCATATACCCTGAGAAAACCATAATTCCAAAAGAGTCACGTACCACAATGTTCATTGCAGCTCTATTTACAATAGCCAGGACATGGAAACAACCTAAGTGTCCATCATCAGATGAATGCATAAAGAAGATGTGGCACATATATACAATGGAATATTACTCAGCCAGAAAAGGAAACAAAATTGAGTTGTTTGTAGTGAGGTGGATGGACCTAGAGTCTGTCATACAGAGTGAAGTGAGTCAGAAAGAGAAAAACAAATACCATATGCTAACACATATATATGGAATCTAAGAAAAAAAAAGTTCTGAGGAACCTATGGGCAGGACCGGAATAAAGACGCAGACATAGAGAATGGACTTGAGGACATGGGGAGCGGGAAGGGTAAGCTGGAACGAGGTGAGCTAGTGGCATGGACTTATGTATACTACCAAATGTAAAATAGGTAGCTAGTGGGAAGCAGCCTCATAGCACAGGGAGATCAGCTCTGTGCTTTGTGACCACCTAGAGGGGTGGGTTAGGGAGGGTGGGAGGAAGATGCAAGAGGGAAGAGATATGGGGATATATGTATTTGTATAGCTGATTCATTTTGTTATAAAGCAGAAACTAACACACCATTGTAAAGCAGTTATACTCGAATAAAGATGTTTAAAAAATTTTTAAAAACAAGATATATTGGGCTTCCCTGGTAGTGCAGTGGTTGAGAGTCCGGCTGCTGATGCAAGGGACACGGGTTCGTGCCCCGGTCTGGGAAGATCTCACACACCGCGGAGCGGCTGGGCCCGTGAGCCATGGCCGCTGAGCTTGCGCGTCTGGAGCCTGTGCTCCGCAGCGGGAGAGGCCACAACAGTGAGAGCACCGTGTACCGCAAAAAAAAAAACCCAAAAAACAATAAAACATATATATATATGTATATATATATATATATATAGAGAGAGAGAGAGTTCTTAGGCCCTTTTCTAGGTACTTGATAGTCTGTGTCAGTCGAGGTCCTCCAAGGAGTGGATGTCAAGAGGAAATGATCAATGAAGCATGCTAGAGGCATATTGGGGAAACCCTTGTGCAGGATGGAGTGGAGGAAACAGTAGCAGGCCAGGGGGGTCTTCTGGCCGTGGTACAGGTCTGATGCCGGTGAGAGGAGGCAGGGAAGGGAGCAGGCGCGCTGGGGAGGGTGCCCTCAGGCGGCGGTGCAGTCTACGAAGTCTTGGGCCATATCAATGGGTCATCTTCAAGCTCATCTCCCATCAGAGGAGTCTCTTGTCCCCCAGCAGTGGGCCTGAAAGGGTGTCTCTGCTGTGCTTCATTGTCGCCCACTTGCAGCCTAGGGGAAGCACAGCCTCAGTGCAAACCCACGGGAGGATCCAGAGCTGAGGCTGTGAAACACTTAGGCTCCCAGCAGCAGATTCTCTAGAAGGAGCTCTGGCTGGTGCATGTCCATGGTCACCACACAGCTATCATGTTCAAAGCTCACAACCCCTCTTCCAAGCATTTTGTAATCTCCAGTTAACAAAAGGGGAAACAGGGCTTAAATAAATTGCCCCAAAGCACTTGGCCCTGATTTGGTCCAGCCAGCTTCCAAAGCCAAGTTTTAAAGACCCCCAAACCGTGTTTTTTCTTCTCTCATGTGGTAGATTAAATTATTGTTCAGCAAGTATGTAGCCTCCTACCCCCACCAACTCCATGGGAGGGATCATTCTGCCCCATTGACGTGACCTTGGCGTGTGTCTTGTTTGGGCCATGGAATGTGGGTATAAAGGACTGTGAGCCAGTTCTGAGCCTCAGCTTTGAGAGGCATCATGTGTTTGCCCTCATCTCTTCCAGGAGAAGCCATATCAGGAGAAGATCAGATGCCCAGTCAAACTCTGCCTAAAGCAAAGCACTGTATCCCCCACCTAGCCAACCTGAAGATCCAAAAGTGAGCCATAAAGGCTTGTAGTTGTACATCACTGAGATTTGGGTGACTTCTTAGGCAGTATTACTTTGGCAAGAGCTGACTGATACATATCATGTTGCCAACAGAAGGAGTAATTGATGCTGCCTGAGGGAGATGGTAAAGACTTCATGGAGGAAGTAACATTTAAGCAGATTATTGTTTTGTTTTGTTTTGCGGTATGCGGGCCTCTCACTGTTGTGGCCTCTCCTGTTGCAGGGCACAGGCTCCGGACGCGCAGGCTCAGCGGCCATGGCTCACGGGCCCAGCCGCTCCGCGGCATGTGGGATCTTCCTGGACCGGGGCCCGAACCCGTGTCCCCTGCATCGGCAGGTGGCCTCTCAACCACTGCGCCACCAGGGAAGCCCCAGATTATTCTTAAAAATAATAAAATTCCATTTTTGAAAAAAGGTTTGTCTATTTTCATTATCAAAATTTTGGAAAATATGGCAAGTATTAAAAGGAAAGTCAAAGAGATTACATCTGTTGATATTTTTTATATTAGAGTCCTTCTCCATGCATACTATGCCTTTATACACTCTGGGGCTTTGCCTTTTATGACCTAACTTACTATCATCAATCAGCATTCTTATTTATTTATTTATTTTTATTTTTGGCTACATTGGGTCTTCATTGCTGCACGTGGGCTTTCTCTAGTTACGGCGAGCAGGGGCTCCTCTTCATTGTGGTGCACAGGCTTCTCATAGCAGTGGCTTCTCTTGTTGTGGAGCATGGGCTCTAGGCATGCGAGCTTCAGTAATTGTGGCACATGGGCTCAGTAGTGGTGGCTCACGGGCTCTAGAGCACAGGCTCAGTAGTTGTGGCACACGGGCTTAGTTGCTTCGTGGCATGTGGGATCTTCCCAGACCGGGGCTCAACCTGTGTGCCCTATATTGGCAGGTGGATTCTTAACCACTGTGCCACCAGGGAAGTCCCAATCTGCATTCTTATATATGATCAAATATTCTTTGAAAACATAGTTTGTAATGGTTGCATAATATTCATGGCAGCACTAACTTGAGCTTCAAGGACAAGTTGAAGCACATCAGAAGGACATTCTTCCATTCATTTGTTTAAAATTATTTATTGAGTACTTGCTCTGTGCCAGGCAGTGTTCAAGGTACTAGGAAAACAACCGTTACAAAGAGACAAAGCCGCAGTGTCTGTCAGCAGGTGGCCAATAAAGGAATCATAGCCTATCCATATAGTGCAAGACTACCCAGCAATAAGAAAGAGCTGACTACTGATACGGGCTGCAACATGGAGGACCTCAGAAACATGATGCTGAGTGAAAAGAGCCAGACACCAAGGGCTCTATGTTATGATTGCATTGTTATAAAACTCTAGATGATTCAAACAAATCTATAGTGACAGGAAGCAGACTAACAGGTGTGGGAGAGGAGGGGACAGGGAGGGAAGAAAGGAATTATAAGGGGCATGAGAAACCTTTGGGGGGGTAGATATGTTTATTGATTGGGGTAATGTGGTCATGAATGTATACATGTCAAAACTTTAAAAAAATTTTTACTTTTATATTGGAGTATAGTTGATTTACACTGTTGTGTTACTTTCAGGTGTGCAGCAAAGTGGTTCAGTTATACACACACATATACTATCCTTTTTCAAATCCTTTTCCCATTTAGGTTATTACAGAATATTGAGTAGTGTTCCCTGTGCTGTACACTAGGTCCTTGTTGGTTATCTATTGTAAATACAGTAGTGTGTATATGTCAATCCCTAACTCCCAATTTGTCCCTCCCCCTTACCACCTTTCCCCTTTGGTAACCGTGAATTTGCGTATGTCTAAAGTTTAAATATGTGTGGTTTATTGCATGTCAGTCCCACCTCAGTAAAGCTGTTAAAAAAGTC